TTAAAATCTGAGAAAAAATTTCTCTTAGTCGGGTTTTGGTTCTAATCAGATCATGTAGTGCTTCTATAAAACATGGTTTTAGCCAAACTTCTTATTGGTAGAAATAAGTAAATCATTACGCTTACCAAGAGAACAACATTTAGGTACTACATATTGAAAATTACACATTTTTAAATATCCAATTTTATTGACTTGCCGAGAGTTTCTTGGTTTCAGTATATCGAGATGACAGATGACAAGAACTTGAATCATACGTACGTTTGATATACGAAGAAATTTCGGGTTTCGAATAATATCCTAAGATAAGATTGATGTGAAGACTCTCATTTCTTATGGAAGTACACGATGAAGAGATTCGTAGGTCAATTTGACGTTGAAGGATGTCTTGTGGACTGCATCAACATGAACGTCGTATTAATGTCAAAGGGCTGCAGAACAATACGAATCAGTCAACGTCTTCTGGTAAGATTAACCTGAAAATCTCTTCATCCTATTCTTCCATACGAAATGAAAGTCTTTACATTAATCTTATCTCAAGAGATTCTTTTAAAATCCGCATTTTATTCATTTATTTAAATACTCTCTACTAACAATTCGATATTGTATCGTGAAGCAAGAATCGGCCTTATTAACATCCGATCCCTGATGGGTATGAATTGAAAGCGACCTCTGCCATGAGAGTCACTGGTGTACTGGGATAAAGAAACCAGTTTGGATGCAGGACTAAGTGACAACCATAGGGAAAAGAAATAACTCTCTTCACTTCAACTCGGGCAGCATTCTAGACTTGAATCGGCAAAGTGACCTATGTCGACTAACCCTTTAATGGATTAAAACTAGTAAAATGGGTTTTAACTTACTTATCAACCCCACCGCTCTGAAATGAGAAGAAACAAAAGACAAGTTTAGCAACACTTTCATATTCCTACAGTGCTGGCAAGATAAATAGACTAGGAAAATACTTTAATTATTACTATTATTATTAATATATTATTGAGATATTACTACAATGATAAGATATATAACTATATAACAATGACAATTAAATATTATCTAATATATTATCTTAATTATATTTATCATATATATATATGTATATAATGTTAATAGTATTACCATTATTATACATATAGGCGATTTCAAGTACAGACTCTCTTCATTCGTCTCATTTATCTACGAAATATGCAGGCCAAAAGAAGCAAA